AAGCATTAAATTCATACACACAACAAATACATGCACCGATAGGTTATACATGCATAAAAAAAGAAGACCCCAAAATACTTGATAACGCTCTATCTGTTTTGGAATGAAGGGTAGCTTAAAGATAACGAGGCAAATGAAAGGGAGAGGGGTGCGGGAATTTTACCTCAGTTCGATAGGCTCCAACTCCTAAATTTAACTTCTTTGGGCTCGGATCCTTGTTGTAAGCAACAGTGACCTGTTCCAGTCCGAAGCACAAAAAAATACGAAGACCAAAACAGCAGTCAGAAACCAAAATGAATGCAGTCCAAAATGCTAACCAATACAAACCACTTCACTAAATTTTACCAAATTACTAGTGCTAGTATATGAGGTGAAACAGGCATCATAGTCTCATTCGTTCAGGTATAAAAGTTGATCAATAACGAATCAATCTCATAGGGATTTCCCTACTATACCAGAATAGTTAACGAGCGCGAAAATTGAAGATCACAAGCAAAAATCAAATTTAGCCCGGTGGTACTAGAACCAGAGCTCATTTCTAACCAACCCGTTTTCATATTCTATCTCCCGCGCGGACCTCCCGTCTATAAATTTAAAAATTAACAATAATAAAAATAATCGTAAATGCCAATGATGATAACAATAATCAGATCAGATATCAAATGCAGTTAAATACACGTAACAACATCATAGACAACAGAAACACACAGAAACGTGATGTGTAGTATCGAAAGAGTACCCCTAAAATGGGATCTTCAGGAGCACGAACAACGTTAGCAAAAACGGAATCACCATGACCAGAGGCCATTTGTTATCAGCGAATAGTGACTCTTAGTTCAGTGGGATATTTCTGACTTTCTTCTGGTCACAGAAGGTTACCGATGGGATCACCAACAAAACAGATGTACACTGCCTTTATTAAACGGGTTGAAAATTTTTTTGAATGGTCTCCGAAGAAACAATGGGCCGTAAAAAGGTGGGAAGGACGACGATGAAACTGTGGGTTGTTTGTTCCCTTTAAGTTTAACCAAAATTTAAAAAACGGTGGATGGTAATGGCGCTGTTGGATTCGTTGTAAGGTTGATGTCCTGGAGTGGGCTTCAAGAAAGCTTGTTTACGTTTTCTTTACTTCCTCGTGGGAGTAGCATTTATTTCCAGAACGCAGTCGTATCGTCTCCACAAAAATATTTTTGAGGAAAAAAAAGGAAAAACTATTTCACTAGACTTTGATTTATTATGCAGAGATCTAGTGACTCATAATTTGTCACATCATTTCATGGATTCAAGTAGTAGAAATGTGGCAAAATTTGAATCGTTAGATCTATCAAATCATGTCTACCCAATTTTTTACTTTAATTGTTTATGGATACTTTTTTTTTATACATTTCAATGTATAATTTTATTTTTTTTTTAACATTAGCAGCATTGTCGCATAATATGAATTTCAAATTTCAAATTTAAATCATGACCATATGACATTCATTCAAAGCTACTAGTATTAAAAAAAAAAAAAATTACTGTCAGTACATAAAAAATTAATCCATTATTCATAATTTATACCATTGCAATTGTGCACGACAAATTCAAGGCCATGTATACAAAAATGCATCATCATTGATTAGCAAGGAAGCCTGGTTTACTTGGGCAAAATTTCATAAGTGACCCCATTCAGCCTTGCAATGGTTTTAATTATTGTTAGGCCGTCCTCGAGTTATGTACACGATTCCAATTAGTCCCCTAGTGGGAACAATTAAGATTGAAAGAAAATGATACTACCCCAATCAAAAAGTAATAAACCGCAACTAGAAGAAAATGATGTCTATTTGGATAAAATGTGACAAAAATAAAAATTGGTGGAACAGACTCTGTCCGACAGAGTGAGAAAAATAACATATGGTAAATCGGGCAATTCAAATAATTTGATCACGAATAAGTCTCATTTCCTTGGATTTTGTTCAAATTTTATTTGAAAAAATAACTTTTTGTGGTGTAATGTATGTAAAATTATATTTAAAAAAAAAGTGTAAAAAAAAGGTGACTGAAAAGCTTATTTAGGATGCAACAGGAAGAAAAATTTTTTTTTCCAAAATCTTTGACCGCCCAAACAATTAACCAAACTAACTTGATATTCAGTAAAATCAACCAAAATAGTTGAACTCAATCGGTCAATCTAAGTGGGTGCATAGTGCATTCGTTTGATCCGGTGATGATTCAGTTCCTTCGAAATATCTCTGAAATTCTTTAGGTCCACTCCCTCCTCCTAGTATAGAATAGATTAGAATATATATTACGGTTGTCGTTTCTAAAAAAAAAAAAAAAAAAAAATCAGTCAATCTGTCCCTCCTAAAGGCCAAATCGAAACAGCCATGGCCAAATCTCTCTCCTCTTTTCCCTCAGTTGGCCCCACATTTGCCTGGAAGCCAACACTGACATTGATTGTAGAGTTTAACTGCACCCTGGCTGCCCCGTTAAAAAGTGGCAATTCCCAAAAACCCTTTTAGCGACGGGTTAAGACTCGTCATCATCAATCATGCAATGACAAGGCAGACAAAGCAGTATAATCTTTCGAGCAAGAACCACCTGTCCATGACTTAAAGAAATCACTAATTACTACTACAATATTACAAACGGGGAGCTCTATGTTGCATGTAGCAGAGAAAACCATTGGCAAGAATTATGCTAGTGTTCTTTTACCCCGCCGAATGAACAATGATCGAAGATCTTTATTTTGAGCTAATTTCCAGCTTAGCATGCTACGTTTTAGCTTCGGAGACTCCTGCAGCAAGCCCACAAACAGCACTCATCGTTAAAAGAAGATTTGTTCTTGAGCAGACAATTGTACAGTTAAATCTCAACCACCAAGTATGGAACGAGATGATGCACCTGAAAATGAAAATTGGGATGCTGATATTTTACTGGTAACCCGTCGCGTGCTGGCAATACTGCAAAACCACATGCCCGTTTCGACGTGAAGATTCAAGGATAAGATTGCGCTTTTTTCCATTAGCATTTCAGGTTTAGTCAACTTAGCATCTTAAAATTTGCTCAGGACACATAAATTTGATTACCTGGAATTGAAAAGCTCTTTCTTTTCTCGGAGCTCTCATCAGATGTCGAGTTCTCAACTAGAGAGGGCTTGCAGTTGTGCGTGTACAAGAAAAGTGGCACCTCCCCCGTCTGAAATTCTGCAGTCCTAGCAGCTATCTGCCTGGATGGGGCAGAAGAGGTCGATATCATTGTAAGAAATTACGCAATGAGGTTACAGATAAACAAAAGACGTGAGAATGTTACCTCGAGACAGTAGTGTTAGTCCTCTGAAGACCTGGACTTGCTAGTTAAAATTAAAAGAACAGAACAGGACTGTCAGGAAAGAAATCATTATCCCATGGGAAGAGAAATGGACGAATTTGAAGCAAGAAATGAACGGAAGAAATTTCATGTCTGAAATGGTTACGCGGTAATATATAGCGACAGTAATATCTGGGAAAGTCGGCATTCCAACAGTGTGATCTGAGAGCAAGCAGGTGAGAGTACTTTTCCCATGTCCCGATTCTCTGTTCATCAAAAGAATGACATGCTTCTAGTAAAGACGTTTGCCTGAGGTTTCTCTCACCAATGCCACAGGAGTGGGGAAGGAAACGGAATATTGAGGGGTAAAAGAACAGAAAAGGAAAGGTGGAAAACTGCTAATATTAGTGCAAATCATCAGTACTAACCTCTTTCAAGCTGTCAATTCGAAGCTCGGCCTCAGAAACAGAGTTGGTATTTAAAAGCCGACATTCAAGATTAGCTGAGACGCTTCCGAGATGATCAACCACTGTAACTACAGCCCTACTTATGTACTCCTTTGTGTTCTCCACCACACTGCAGAAGATTATGTAGTAGAACAGTCGTTAACAGACGCATCCTTTTCTTCCCTTTTATTCAATTTCTGATTTGTGCTAAAAGTTTAGATTGAAATGTTTAAGCTTTGCACGAGCTATGAACCTTGGTTGTTTACAAGCAACGTCATTGTTTATCTTATTGACAGGTCACATTCAAGAAAGTTGCCAAATTTTTTTAAAATATTTTAAAAATTGCCCACATAATGGTGTTTCAGGAGCTCTCAGAATTGCCGGTGTATGCCGTTTATGTCTGCAAGTTAGAGGACTCACGTTCTCTTCTCCTTAGCATTCGAGAAACTCGTCTCGCAATAATTTGCAGCACGGCGAAGATGAGAGCACAAGTCCTTGAGTTCCTGCAAACAGGGCAAGATAGGAGTATTCAGATGAACCATGAAAAACGAGTAGAACGTTACACGCACCCGGAATTCGAAAGATTTCCATACGCACAAGCAGAGACTTTTCGAACTGCGTCCCTTCATCAGTTTCAGCTTCTTGGTTTTCGGCAGCTAATGATTTCGAGTCCTGCTGATTCATTCTCTTTGCAACAAACAAATTGAGGTGCACAAGTAAGAGGAGCGAAAGAAGAAGATGATATTCGGAACTTCTTTGTTTCTACTCGGTTTTGCAGATTGGAGACTGGTAGGTTTCTGTGATCTTGTGATACATTCTGTCGAGCACTAAACAGATGAAAACCAAAATCTAATTAAGAGAGATTCTTGTGCATTCATGGGCTGTGTCACTTTCAATAAGGACAAATAATAGGCAAGCCCCGTGATACTTTGTTCGCTCCTTTTCTTTCTGTCTAAATTCTAAAAGAGCGCATCCACTGATGACAACTACACAGAAAATTCAACTTCCGCCCTCTTCACTTTTCAGGTGACCATACGATACGGACCATGAGAAGAAAGTGAGTGGCAAAGTCACGGTCCAACATTAATTTTCTGCAAATGTTTGGGTAGGAAAGTAACAATGGAAAATTCAGAATAGCCCGTGGTGCTTCAATTGTATGAGATGTGATGCAATACCAAGTAACTGCAAGCTTCCAAAATGATTAGCTCGTCGTGTTTTTTGCCTTCAGAACTACTAAAATATGGCTCCTGAAAGGTAACTAACTATGTAGCAAGAAGTAGCAGCAGTTTTATGTCATATAAACTTCAACAGTTAAATCCCGCAGAAAAAATACAACTCTCACACACTAACTTCCAACTGTCAGGAAGACTTTGCATGGAGATAAGTTACAAAGCACATACTGAAATCAGCAGCGCTGCAACTAACTTCTTCCCTCCCAGTCAACATAATGTCCACCTTAACATCTACATAACAAAAGGATTATCTGCCTCTCTATGCATGTTTTTAACAGGATTACAAAAAATTCATCATTTATGCTCTTACATAGACGTATGATCTACCACCATGATGCCAAATTTTCAGTTTTCCACCCGGGCCCTTCATAGTACCTTTTGAGTTACTGAACTCAAATTTGAAAATCAATTATGCAGCCACCACAATTCTCTGCAGCCTCTAGTTGTGGAGTGATTGAGCGATAATCTGCTAACAAAGATGACGACAGAATATTTTTAAGATTCTGGTATGTTTTTTGAGGTGCCTGTTTACTGCCATCATGACTGCTATATCCCGTCGGCTCCAGCTTAATCTGCCTTCTCTTTTGACTGCCCACGCTTCTTTGGTTTCCCTTGCCATGAGGAAGGTGCAACTCTGGTTCTCAGAAGCAGAATGAATACATTTCAGTCAAAGCTCGGAGTCTGTGGTAAGAAGGAGTTTATGCAAGGGGACAAAAGGAGTAATAGAACAAAAACTAATGAAAAAAAAAAACCTTCCTTAACATCTTAAAACAAGCACATTGTGGTATGGAAAGATATTTCTTCATAATCTGCAGGGCAGTTACTCTACCACTGAGCAACAAAATTTTGTTGACGTGATATACAGATGTGCAGTGTGCAGCCACTGGTTTCCATAAACATTGGTAACATGCATTATGCCAGGGTAAGCCTAGCACCAAACAATTATGAGAGGATTCAACGAAGTATAAGCATTCCTGAAACTGCAACCAGAGTGAAAGTCCAGCTCATCTACAGAAACTCTACCAGTACAAGTGCTCAATTTCTTTGAGGCCTTATGCCTATATTCAGTGTTGTAAGTCTCTCTAACATCCAAGCATGGTGCATCTGTGTTGTTATCCTGTAGAACTTTTACAAGTAATTTGACATGACTGCGATTAATCTCGCATTTGGACAAGAATTTGCATTGCCAGTTTCCAAGGTGCCATACTCAGTGAAGCTCTTTGGCATCTATAAAGTCGTTATACTCTTAAATACTAGAGATGTTGGAAAAGTTACCAATGTTCTAAAGATCTCCATCTTAACTTTAGCTTTAAGTAATTTCCTCTTTGGTTCATATGAAAGTGTTCTGTTATTTCACTTGCCAAACAGACTATTTATGTAACAGCTCATGAAAAGGTAAGTCATCATAATTCAAAGTACAAGAATGAAAAAGAAGGCATCACGTTCTCGTTTGCAATTTGTGATGGTTGTTCTATCAGACTAGCTATTACCTTTATCAACATTAGAAGAATCTAGGCCTCTTTTCAGCGGGTGAGATCTTGTAACACATAACCATGTTCCCTCACCATGAGTTTCAATTTCTGAAACAACTGGAATATGCCAGTGGCCTTTCTCTGACTCCTGTTGACACGGCAACAAATTGGTATCCATTGTACTGCAGTCATACTATTAATGTACAATTTGTCTTTACTAATGTTTTGCTTCAACAACATTCTTCTCCATAAGAGGATTTTGCACCAAAAAGATGATTCGCATAGCTTTTGGCATCTTTGCAAAAGGAAAAAATCGAGGAATCAAGGAAACCTAACCTGAATTACAACAGAACATGGCGGCGGCATGTGAAATACTGGACCAGTTTCGGAAAAGCTGAAGTGTACCTTCAATTAACAATACAATTCCTTAGTAGGAAAAGAACAAATTGCATAATAATACTAGACATTGTAAAGAAACCTACAAGAAGAAATCAATGATGCTCTGGCCCTTGAAAAGAAAAAAAATGAGCTTATCTTGTTTTAGACATATTAAGTTCATGATGGCAACAGCATTAACAAGAAGAAATGCTAAAGCAATGGTCAACTCACAGAGTGAATCGGCAAACTAACCTGGGAAATGCAGTTCAGTTTTGTAATATTCTTTTAGGTCTTAATCCAATGAATAAGGAATGCTAATTAATTGATCCATCAGTCAACTTGTCTAGAGTGTAAATTCAATGTTTTTTCTTGCAAACTCCTCAAAGATCAACAATGACCACAGTCTAAGAAATAAAAGCACATTGCTTGGCATATACAACTATCATGGAGGCTCTCATTCTTCTGAAAATCAAGAAAAAGGATAGCACAGCGAGCAGCAGAGTTATGTCATATGATTTTAGCTAGCTATTTTTTCTTTCTCTTTGGTAAGTAACTGTCAATGATATACTCATGCTGTTGCAATGGTCCTATTTGTAGTCATATTATACTTCTGAATGCATCTAACACTTTATGAGATGATTGGCACTGCCCTGCTCCAAATAAACAATGGTAGATATTTTCATTTAGCTAAAACTACTTACCTGATGTCTTTCTTTCCATTTAGGGAAAAAATCATTTCCCAGAAGTTGAAATAAGTGATCTCTCATCTCGTCATTCGTAACAATTAAGCATTTAAACTTGATGGCTGCATATAACCAGTACCTAAATTTAACTCAGATGCATTAAAGTTTATCACTCTAAGTAAACAAGAATAGATGAAATTTGAAGTATTATAGAATTTGTAGTTCTAACCAATCATCATTTGATCCAGTAGGAGTTGCATAGAGTGCATCTGCATTTTTCCACTTCTCAATCAGTGCTCGATTGGCAGGTTCATTCATCTTATCTCCAGTTAGACGCCTGTTATGCAAGACAATGAGTGGCCATTTCTTAGATGGAAGCATTTGACGAAGTCCATTAACAACTGCATTAACCTAAACAGAACATTGTCATAAAAAGAGAGATAAAGATAGATTGATTATGTGTTATCTTTGATCTGCATAACAATAGAAAATCTTGCCTTGGATGGTTTAAATTTTCTTTGAGTGTAAAGGCCAATATTTGCTCCATCTACGACTGCTTCAAACGGTCCGTAATAATCGAGCCATTTCTGCAATTTGTTGCATATTCTTCATCGTACCATTATATATCTAGATTAAACAATCACGATTAAGAAATATAACGTACTTGAAATTTTTCAAAATTTGAATTTTTATCTCTTTGTATGGCAAGCGAAGTCACTGATCTGGCAAAATGTTCAGTTTCTGCAGGATCAAGGTCAATGGTGACTAATTTTTCTCCACAACATCTGCATAAGCCATCAGATCCCACAGATGTACGCGAAACAGTCCAGCGCCCTTTACCCAACCAGCCCAGCCCATGCCAACCGCCACCTCCATTTTCCATTGCTTTCTTTATGAGTCTTTGACCCAATTTCCTCTTCCCCACTCTTGAAGCTACCTTGCTCCTGAACCACTTCTCGATCAAATCTGCAGTAGAAGACGAGACCTGCCTAACGCTTGTTCTTAGCTTATGCAACAGATAATAGACTCTCTCACTCTTTCCAGTTTCTACACTTACTCTCAAAAGTGCTTGTAGTTCTGGCTCCTCTGGACAGACACCATTCTGCAACATATGTTCTTCAACCATAAACGCTTTCTCAACATCTCCATTGTTGCAGAAAACTGACAGTGCAGGACCATAAGATCGCAATCGAGGGTTAATTCCTAATTCTTTCATTTGCTTTACAACATCAAAGGCCAAGTCTCCATCTCCTAATGACATTGCAATTCTAGCCACAGATGTAAATGTCGCTTCATTCATTGGAACCTTATCAAAAAGCATGTTATTATATATTTCAAATCCCCTTTTAAGTGCGTATCTCTTGACATCCAGAGTAACTTGAATTCCAGAACCTTCTTCTCCCATCACATCTTTGTTCGCATGCTCAGTGTCAGACTTCATGAACTGAACCATCTCATCTAAACTTTGAGGATAGGGTAACTTTGAGTCATTTGAAAAACTTACAGGATTGTTTACCTTAGCCGGAAAACCATTGAAATCCAGCCCCTCTTTATTTTCAGAGTTTATCTCCTTGGACAACCCCAGAGGATTCAAGCTTCTATTACCGCTACCGCTTTTTGCTGGCTGCACAACACCTGTGGCAGCAGAAGAACAAAGATAGAGAAGTACAGCATAATGGTACTGCCCCAAATTCATCCCTTCTTTCCTTGCTAAATCATATAGCCTAATTGCACCAATAACATCCCCCCTTTTAGAGCACATATCGAGCCCTGCCCTCAGCACAGTTCCAGGTGTATCAGCCTTACTTTTCTTAGAACCCTTTCCTACCCTTTCAACTTCCAGCTGATTAACTTGGTCCTCATTCTCTGGCTTTCTTTCCTTCTTGCTAGTGCCCTGTCCATTTCCCTGTGCTTTCTTGACATATTTTCCTGTATTTCCATCCTTAGACCTCGTCGAAGAAAACTGAGGACTAGTAACTGTTCTGCTTTTGGGGTTTAATCTAGTCTTTGCATGTCTGTCCTTCAGTATAACTCTTTTCTCAACATTATCCGCTACAGCTGCATCAAAATGACTACTTTTTTGAAAACTTTCACCAATTCTTCTGTCCCTCAGACTATCAGCGGAAACCCCAGAACCATTCTGCCCAATAGCTTTATGGTTGTTTCTTGAGACATTGTGGTGGGTGTTCTTGGGCAACCTTGCTTCCAAGGGGGCAACATGCGCATTAACTTGAAGAAATGGTGAAAATCTTCGGTCGAATGCGTGCTTCGTTGTTGAAACATTCAAGAAAGTGATTAAAGCAGAAGAGTAGTTGCAGTGAGCAAAGGATAAAAGTTGGAGCCGACTTTGTTGCAGGCGTGGGCAGGTGAAGGAGGCCATACGTGGCCGCTAAAATAGGCTAAGCATCATCGTCCATTTTCCTGTCGGGTGGACTTATTTTAGGTATTTGGAATGTAATCCATAGACCCGGGTCCGACTGAAATAGTTGTACAAGGGACCGAATTTTCATTTACTGGGGTTGAACACGTACAGTCCCCTCTTTTCCTTTGAGGCGCGCCGCTGTTTATCATCTTAACTGAGACACTTCCTTGTTTGGACAGTATTTTTTTTTCACTATATTTTTTATAAACATATTTTTTAATTAATTTTTATATTATATATATCAAATCGTTCCAGTAATTTTTTTATAAAAAATTCAAAAAAATACAATCCGAACAAGACCTATTCCTAAGAAAATCAATTTATTTAGATCCATCAGTTTATGAAAACAGGATTTTACAATATTATTACTTGGAGCTTGACTGCTATATTTGACAATTTCTTGAGCCAATGACAATTGATGAGAATTAACCGGAGCAGTAGTATTGTCGAGGACAAATGATGAGGAGTAACATCATGACGACAGCAAAACGCGGTCGATTATGAATAATCATATCCGTATTATATACCTGCGAGAGATTCCAATTTCCCTTAATTGCAGGATTATTAATAATGGTATCTCTATTTAATCGATGGGAAAGGTGGAATCCCAAAAAATAAAGAGAATAATAAAGGCATGTGATCTATTTTGGATAGAGTGTTATTTGAAATAATTACTCTAACATTTCTTGTAATGTTTCTTGTAATGTGATGTATGTAAGATAAAAAAATAATTAAAAATATAAAAAAAGTGATTGAAAAATATGTTTATGATGCAAACGAAATATTATTTGAAAAAATAGAGTATCAAACAAACCCGCTCCTTATTAGCTTATACTTCAGAGAGTGTAGATTTCTCTGTCTTCTTGGATTGTGGGAATGGGAAACTTGAACTCAGGCAAGCAAGATTGAACGCAATTTTGCATTGAGTGGAATAAGAACCGTTATAAAAAAAAAAATTTAAAAAAAATAAAAATTAAGATCGCTTCAGAAACTGTAAGTAGCCTCAAATCTTGTTAACCTGAGTTCAAATTAAATTTGGCCTAAGTTACATATATATAAAGGTGATGAATTTCACCATCTTGCCAATACGTCAGAATATAACTTCCGTTTACTGATGCTGGAACCAGGGAATCCTTAAACATCACATGCAGTCAAACTCCAACATATCGAAGTGAAAACAGCACTCAAGCCATTAACTCTCTCTTTTGCAGACTTGCACCAGCCAATTGATTATAACACGCCAATTTCACCGAACAAGAGTGTAGTTGAGCTCTAGGACAGATGCATACGTCGAAGAAGGACAAAAATCAAAGGTGTCAAAACTGAAAGCAAAATGTTATTTTGTAGCATAGATGCATTTTCAATTTCTGAAATTCCGAAAAGTAAGAAGCCTAATTCGTAGCCAAGCAGAGAAACAGCATCACTGGAACCAGTCCACAAAATGCTGTCATAAAGGCAATGAAATACCTGTGCCACACAGAGAAGGGATTGCCATATCAATTTGAAGCTATTGTGCAAAATGTAACAGGAAATGCAACACACAATAAAGCCACATTTCTAATAATAGCATAGTATAAAGGTAAAGGAATATCTAATAGCAGGCAAATGAAACTGAACTTCGTGATATTAACTCTGTTTTTCCAAACTTCATGCTTGTAATAGGCTGCAAGCTAGCTCCCTTAACATTTTAACATGCCTAAGCAAGATTTTCCCCCCCCCCCCAAAATGCACGTGAAGTACAAGTTTAGAGGATGACCAATCATCTAAGAGGTAAGATCCTTGAAAAAATTTGCTTTTAACAAATATCAAAGCAAGTCCACAGCCATGTATGTAACCTATATTTCCCATCCCTCTTCTTCAGATGACCCAAAAGGTCGCCATAACAAACTCTTGATGTCATAAAACTTGAAGCTTGAATTCTTCTTTAATTATCCTAGTGAATGCAGTTAAAAGAACAACAATGCCGATTTTTTAACTGACCCTGGAAACATAAAGCCCTATTACTCCATCCCATCAGTCCATGGCCAAGGACTGGCTGTGAAAATAGCCTTTACACCCATGCCTAAATATACTTGAACCTTTGACATTTCTAAAGAGCAGGAGGATGAATAGTAGTGATTCCGCCCCTGTACTTGAAGCTGCAGCTCAAAGTGTAACCTTAATACGGGAGTGAAAACAGCCATAAGCAACTAAAATGTAACACAAGGACTTCCACTGCAATAACTCCTTTCCAAGTCCCAAAATAAATCCTACAAGGAGGTCGAAAGTCCTTGAAAGTAGTCTAGAGAAGACATCCACAACCTCTGTAAGCATGATTGCCTAAATCCAACAGTTCGGAATGCGGTGTAATTTTACTATCCATAAAATTCACGAGTGACGCAAAGCAAGAATTTGAGCAAAAAGATAACCACAAAGGGAGATAGTCTAAAAAGTCGCAATGAGACAATTAATCATGCCTAAAAAGTTAGGATGCACTTTCTTGCTGATTACACATAAGCAAAATAGAAAATTGTCAAAACAGATTAAAAAAATTGATTCCACGCTAACATTTCATCAATACAAGCAATACAAAATTGACACATACTTAGCCACTGAATACAGATATTAGCATACAACATTCACATTTCACGAGTAGTTTCACATCCATATCAGCTTAAAGCAGTTGCAAGCAACAAAATGACTTCAATGTAATCCCAAGTAATCAATCCTAACAGCATTACAGCAAAACCATACTTTAGTTTTAACGAATTTCACAACGAACCTTGCGGAACTAATCCCCAGAGACGTGATTCGATGGACAAGCTGGACGTCAGCCGAGCCGAAGCTATCGCACTATGCAACGGCAACATCGTCTCAGCACCGCTCAACTCCACAGGTAACCTAAGCAATTCAGAATTAACATTTAATCATACCGAAATGGTGGCTATATCAGAGGATGCGCGTGTACACGTTAGGGTTTGGATGAACTCTGAAGTGAGGATGAAAGATTCATTTAACCTTGAAATCCACGAACTGCGTTTAGCGGCAGATTGAGACGCCGTCGAAGATGATATGGAGGCCGGAAATGAGGCTTTCTTGTTGCCGCCAAGTTTGAGAGCCACAGGCTGTAATCGAGAAGATAATCTCGATAGCACCCGAGAAGTAGAAGATGCCATTGTGGAACAAAGCAGAGAGCGTGTTCGAGCAAGAACAGGAGGGTTTCCGAGGGTTTTGTTTTTGGCAACAAAACCCATTATTACGAAATCGTTTGCTGTTGGGCGTGCAACGATGTCGTTTTTATTTTAATTTCTTTTTTGACAGAAAATTGATTTTTCACTAAGAAATCCTTCAATTGATGAGTAAGGGGTTGAAACGAGGGAGTTGATACATTGGCAGTCTCTTGCACTTCTAATGATATGAAAAAACAAATACATTCCTATATCTCGTTTCAATTAGGGATGTAATCGAAACCACCTCCTCATTTCAATTAAGAATATAATTGAACTGAGCTTCTCACGAGTAATTCGGTCAAAAGTTTGACTTGCATTAGGTCAAATCGAGTGCGAGGGATATAATCGAGCCCACCTTCTTATTTCAATTAAGATTGTAATCGAACTGAGCTTCTCATGAGTAATTTGGTCAAAAGTTTGACTCGCACTAGGTCAAATCGAGTGCGAGTCAAGTATGAGTAGCTCGATAATTATTCAAACCGAGTTCGAATATGGTTTTTTAAGCTTGGTGGCTCGTCAAGCCTTATCAAGCACAAAGTAATTAATTAAAAATTATATATTTAGTTATTACAATTTTACCCTTTTAAGTTTAAGAGTTGTATAAATTACCAAAATTACTCTTTTAGTCAAGTCAAATACTCGAGCTTGATCATAGTCGCAAGAAAATCGAGCATAATCGAATCGATCTCGAATTTTTGAACCACTATTGCTCGCTTGAACTCGAGCAATACCTCTCTACTGTCGAGTCGAGTTCGAGTATAACGATACTTGCACTCGATTCGACTTGATTGCATCCCTAATTTCAATTGCAGTGAAGGCAATATAAGGTAGTTGTAATTGCTATCATAAGTAGGGGTATTATGTCTTTTTACGTCATGAAATTTGTCAAATAAAGTACCATCATCATATATGTGAATGACAATAATGTGTCTTAAGATTTTTTTTAATTAATCTTTCGTACACTATCAGCATTAGATGAATGATAAATATACAAAATTTGAATTTAAAATTCAACTTTTGTACCTATACATATGCTCTGTTTTTAAACCCGGGCCGGTCTAACTTGTCGAATCAAGAACCGACCAATTGTCCCGTCCGAGTTAACCCTAAAAACTGAAAAATTAAAAATTCGGTCAAACCAGGGTTTGACCAGAAAAATAAGAACAGGGTCTCTTTTCTTTTTTTTTTTACTTTTTTCTGAAAGGTCAAAATATTTTTAATATTATGTTTTGACCCCTAGGTTATTAAAAATTATTAATATAGCTCAAATATTTCATACTTTATAGATGTTGTCTTAAAGTTTGGTGTTATTTTTCAGTTAAGTCCATAATTTTAACTCTAAACTTGTTAATGCTCATTAAATAACATAAATTGCTACTTGATTGTTCTAATTTCTTTGTATTTTCTTGTTAAATATATTTGAAACATCAAATATAAATAAATATATCTTTATTAATATTAATATGCTATTAGGAATTTTACATATAATATTTTAATTTTTAAATAATTTTTATTTATGACGTCATCCGGTTTAACCCCAATTGAATCCGGTTTAACCCATTGACCCCTGAGTTATAAGTTCGACCGAGTCGATACCCGGTCCGATTTTGAAAACATATCACATATGTCATAGATCCAACGATAATAGTGTATATACTGTCAGTGTATATAAAATTTACTCTCTTTTTTTGTTAAAAAAAAAGTAAGATGATAATATTTTACTACATGTTTTGAAAGTCAAAACAAACAACTTTTTATTCAAGTTGGGATAAAAAAATTAGAGATTTCAAATTCAAATCCTTTACTCCCTTCCTACTTGGTTAAGGGTTTAAATTGATTCTTATACATCTTATCAATAAAGGATTGTTCTAGTTCGGATTGAAACTAAATTTC